TTTTCTCCTCCCTATCCCCAATGGTTAGCACAGTTATTATGTGCTTAAAAATGCTTATCGGCTGACTCACCGACTATTCCCTTCCTCAGAAATCTTCCTCACACCCACAGCTTCAACCCATGACCTCTCTTCAAGTGACTCCTAAATCTCTATCTCTAGTTTTGTCTTCTGAACTAATCTTCACTGCCTTCAGGACCTCTGAACTCAGATATGCAGTGTGTTCAAAACAGACCACCTTTTCTTTTTTTTTTTAGGCAATTGGGATTAAGTGACTTGCCCAGGGTCAACAGCTGGTAAGTGTTAAGTGTTAAATGTTTGGCCTGAGGCTGGATTTGAACTCAGGTCCTCCTGACTTCAGGGCCAGTGCTCTATCCACTGGGCCACCTAGCTGCCCCCAGACCACCTTTTCTTTTCCCCAAAACTTGCTCCTCCTTCTGACTTTCCTTTTTGTCTGTGGTGCTACCATTCACCCAATCTCCCATATTCACAACCTTAGGGTTACCTTTTGTTCTCTCTGCTTCACTTTTCATGTGTATGCGATCAATTACCAAGTCCCGTTGATTTTACTCAGCCACCTCTTTTAAACCTGTCCCCTTCCTCTCTGTTCCAGACACCAGGATCCTCTTATGAGCCCTCATTTCCACCTACCTAAAACTATTGCAATAGTTTCCTCACAGGTTTTCCAATCTTTACTCTCCTCTCTTCCCCACTCCAAATGTAGTCTTCACAATACTTAGCAGAATAATCTTTCCTATGTACAGATTTGGTCTTGTTACTCCACTGCTTAAAAAATCTCCACTGGCTTACTGAATGATTTCAAATTGCTTGTTGGTATTTAAAAGGACATCTGTATTAGGGCACTCACTACCTTACCTTTCAATTCCATTTTGTATTACTCCCTGCATGCAATTCTATACTTCAGCCAACTCTGCCCTCTGAATACATGCTTAGACTCTCACATTTTTGTGACTTTGTTGAAATTGTTTGCTATACCTAGAATGCCCTCCCTCCTGCTCTTTAGTCTATTGAACTCTTGTCTATCTTTTAATGTCTGATTCAAATACTATCTCCTACTCCAAGCAGCTGTCCTTGATTATCCCAGTCAATAATGACCTTCTCCTGTAGACTACATCTAGTATTTTGTTTGATACTTCTCTACGGCAATTAAGATGTAGCAAGGTAGGGCAGTGGTTAGAGGCTGGACCTGCAATCAAGAAGACAAGTTCGAATCCAGCCTTAGGTACTTACTGGCTTGTGTGACTCTGGCCAAGTCACTTAATCTCTTTCTGGCTGTTGAGAGGATCAAATGAGCTAATATTTATATAGTGCTTTGATAGCTATTATTAAGTTATCATGCTACATTGCATATTATAAGAATCTGTGTTGCTCTTTTATCTCCCATACACTACTATAAACTAAGATATAAGCTTACTGTAAGCTCTTTGACAGTACAGCTTGTGTCTTTATCTAAGCTTTAAATCTTCCCTAGCACCTAGTATGATGTTCTACCCCTAATTTTTATCATATTATTATACTGGACCCACTAAACAGCCTCAATCCTTCCTTTAAAAAAGATTCACTGATGCCCTTTTTAATATCACTGTCACTTCCCAATGACTTACCACTCTTCTCCTTTATAACAAAAGAGTACTACTAAGCAAAACAAACCAATCTATTGGTTATGTCTGAAAATGTATGCCTTATTCTCCATGGTCTGTGGTCTGAAGTCAGGATTTCTTGAGTCATTTCAGTTATGTCTGACTTGCTGTGACCCAATTTGGAGTTTTCTTGGCAAAGATACTGGAGTGATTTACCATTCTTCTCCAGCTTATTATATAGATGAGAAACTGTGGCAAACAAGGTTAAGTGACTTGCCCCAGGCAAGTAAATTAAATCCATGGATTTAATTACCATTTCTCTGCTGATGATTCTCAAATCTACCTATCCTGCCCTAATATCTTTCCTTACCCCCAGTCTTCCACCTCCAACTGCTTTTTATACATATTGAACTAGATGTCCAGTAAACATCTTAAAACATGTCCAAAACAGAACTCATTATCTTCCCCACCACCACCACCACCACCACCACCACCTTACTTATTACTGTAAAGACGACACCATCCTCCCAGTCCCTCAGTCTCAAAACCTAGGAGTTATCCTGGAATGCTTCTACTATCTCTCATCCCCCATATTTAAACTATTGTCAAAGCTTTTTCCATTTCACCTTTGTAACATCTCTCAATACAACCCCTTCCCTCCTATAACACTTCGGACCACTCTAGTCAGGCCCTCATCACCTCAGGGATGGATTACTGCAGTAGGCTACTAGTGAGTCTACCTGCCTCAATCTCTCACCACTCTAATCCATCCTCAATTCAGCCTCCAGAGTGATTTTTATTAAAGCACATGTCTAACCACATGCTGCACCCCCCCCCACTAGCTCTCTAATTGCCTTCAGGATGAAATACAAAATCCTCTGTTTGGTGTTCAAAGCCCTTCC